TAATGAGACCAAGTAGGCTTGAAACAGTCTTAGCCTGCTAAAGGGGTAAGTGCAAATGGGGAATGCAATTGCAGAGATCTCCCTGAGATAGCATTTTTCTAGCTGGTTCAGATATGCAGGGCAGCTGAGAAACAGCAGTGCAAGGTGTACCATAGGCTATCTGCCTACTACAGATTATAGCCCAGAAGAAATTTGCCCCAAGTATGGCATTGTTGCAGCTGCACAACTTCTACTTAGCAAACTGTGAATGTTAGCAGACATGTACAAGCATTCAGTATTCAGTATTGATTTGCTCCTACTTCTAATATCTTGAAGCTGTGTTATACAGGACAGTGAAAATAAGCCATTATATGTTAAGCTAAAACTGTGTATATAAGCAATTGCAAATCAGACTCTTTGAGCTGTGCATAGTATTAAAGACTTAAACTCCCTTACTTTTTTAGGGAAGAAATGATGGGGTGGTTTTACCCTATGTGGGTATTGGTAGGTCAGAGACCACATAAAAAAGTAAGTTGGATGAGACCTCTGGAGGCCACCTTGTCCAACCCCAAATCTATGCAGAGCCAGCTTAAATCAGATTGCTTAGGCCTTTTTCCAGTCAAGTTCAGAATGTCTCCAAGCACTGAGACATCACAGCTTCTCCAGGCCCATGTCAGACTATCTTCATGATGAAAATATTGTTTCCTAGTCTGTAATCAGAATTTTCTTTGCTGCAACTTGTAGCCATTGACCTCATCCTTCCACTCTGCCCCTTCAAGACGAATCTCTGTTTCTACAAAGTTCAAATGTCCCAACTTGCTCCAAGTCTGACCTAGTAAGAAAGCAGATCTGCAGAGGACAAATGAGCCTGCTACTGAATTTAAAGAACTATACTGCTTTATCAGCTTGGAGAATCTGGCCCTTCCAATGTCAACAGCAAGGCAATGTATAGACAGCTGTATCTCTAAGCATCTGAGAAGACTGACATATTAGCTGCCTGGTATTTTCAGGCTTGGTTTCAGCAGTCAGCTAACCTGCAAATGACTTTCACAGAGCATAAAAGTGCACTTGAATATCCCCAGCTTTTACATAAAAAAATAGCTCAGGAAACTCAGACAGAGTCTTATTTCCCCAGAGACTCTATAGCCACATTTGAAAAGCCAATGTTACACTTCCAACACTTTCTAGTCTTATATCTTCCACCCACATTCTTTATTAGACTGTAATTCTGAATGCTGTTGTTTGCTATGGGATCTCTAAGCTAAGGTCCCAAGGCAAAGGGAAGTATCACAGCTACAGTCAGAGAAAGTTTCATCTTGCAAGAGCAGATGTTAACACAGAGTCCAAGATTTTTTTTTTATTTCTTAATAGTTTAAAAAAATAAAAATAGAATGACTGATTACTTGTAGAAAAAATGCACTTTTCTGGATTTCCTACTGGCAAAAGCTTTGATTAATTCCAGGGTTCTATTTTGTTATCAATTTAATTCTATTTCTAGTTGAAATCAAAGCTTGTCCTTCAGTCTCTACTGGCCCGTAACTGACCTCATGTTACTGTATTTCATTCAATCTGATGAATTTTGGCTTTGAAAAGTCTGATTTCAGTAGGATTGACACTTCTGAGCACTGTGTAGACCCTTCCCTTATGTAAGAGTTTTGTTTGTGAAACAGTTCACCTTTCAAGAAGGAAAAATGTGAAGGATATCAGAGCAAACTGATAGGGAGTTTCTTTTGCCCATCACCAAGTTTTCCGGGTCATTTTCACACCAAAGAAACTGATCTGAGACACAAGAAACTCTTGAACCAGTTCTCTCTCAAACCATGCTCTCTAGTCCTGGATGCTTCTTAGGTGGTAATGGCACAGAATATAGTAAGCCATGATCTGACAGACGCCTTGCCCATCCCATTTCCAGCAGCTTAAAATACTGTGTAGTTCAAGGCAATGGATCTGTCTCTCAAGTACCATAAGGTGTCCAAGCTCAGCTAAAAGTTGCTTCCCGAATTTACACCAGCTGTGCACAGCCTTTGCCTTCTCATTCTCATGTACTCTTTGCAGCAAAGATTTTGCAGCTCCTTCTAAACTCGTGATCTTCACTACTGAGTTTATTCCACACCTGAGCCCTGCAGACATGGTATAGCATCGTTTGTGACAACTGATTTCTTGAATTTGTCTAGGTCGATTAATCCAATAAACTCTGTACCAAGTGTCCTGCCTAAGACAAGAACTAATGGTTGCTGTTTGCATGGTGCCTGTCACAATGAGGTCTGATCCAGCTAGTCTTTGGCATTTACTTCAATCCCATCGTGGTTCAGTTTAGTCACCCCAATTCTTTTAACCAAGTCTGGTTAATGTATGAGACAGAAGGGACTAACTCATTGTTTTTTGTATTCTGATAGAATACTAAAATACACCTTTTTATTATTATTTGATATGACATCTTATGGTTTAAAATGTAGACAGTTTCTTTCTTGCTTTGCAGAGTCATGAAATTATAATCCAGTTCATCTAGTGGGGGGGTGTGTGTGTAATTTTTTTCTAATTCAGAAACTTCCAGGATGTAGGCAGGTTTGTTCTCTTTCTTCCAAAGGCTTTCTGGTTGCTAGAAGGTACACAGCCTGCCTGGGCGTACAAAACCTGGCAGGACAAGAACCCTGCCAGCATCCCAGATATTTTTGTATGCTTGGGACCACAGGGACAAGGAGCTTGGTCACAGTTTGAGCTTGGATTTCTTGCTTCATTCTGGAAATGCTGAAGATAGACTGCAGCTTCTCCCAGGTTTGTAGAGCCAGTCTTCTACCCTGGATAGAGGCAGGAACTCAGCTCAGTGTTCAGAGAGACATACAGGACATCTCAGGGAGGCATCAAATTTCTGAGACTGTGACAAGGTTAGGGTAAACTTCACTTGTTGTGGGGATCTACTACATGAATAGATGTAGTAGAGCAGTGTAGATACCATAAATCGTATTGATACAAATACGGCAGAGAGATTCACTACTGTATGATAGAACATAATGTGCTTGACAAAATACCATCTTGGTACTCAATCTTACCTCTCTGGAGTATCTCCCTGGAGGATATGGAGGGCAGTCCCCACATAGATGTGTGAGGTGAAAATCTTCCAGACAAGAAACACCATTATGAGCCATGAACCCTACCATATCTACAGGGGATGTAGTGTCCTGAGATTCATACTGTCAGCACTGATATCTCCCTTTATTGGATGCAGCAATAAACCCCCTTACAGACATCTTTTGGAAAGGTTGAAGTAGATGTAATCAGGGCTTCTTAGGAGACAGTGCCCATTCATACCTTCAGTATAAACACACAAAAATATTTCTCATCTCAAATCTCTGCTCCAATAGTGCCAGCAAGATTCAATGTAACATTTTTCTCTGGGGGCTGAAGCAAGTGCTGCAGTTTAATGAGTAGTACTTTGATAGTCTGGTGGAAAGCCTAATGACATGGATTTAACTGTGTTGGCATTAGCTTTATTAGGCTGTTTCTGAGACAAGGTAGTATTGACAGTGTTTATGATAAATGACACTCCTCAGTTATTCTTGCATGACTGGTTTCCTTTCAAAGTACCCAAAAGGTTTAGAAATTATGAAATATTCGTAGTGGTATCGTGTCCCAGACTCTTTCCCACCAAGTCAATGGACAGAATTTTTATTCCTTATTTTCTATGTTAACAGAGTCACGATGAGGTTTTGATTAGAGATGAAAAATGCCATTTTCCAGTTGGCACAGAGCCCAATTTATATTGGCCAAGGCACCTTTTCACAGGTTTAGCCTTCAAAAGGAAAAACATATGCTAACAGATGAACAAAAAGGGACGAAAAGAAAGCACAAAGTTTCTTTGAGGGACTGCTGTTTAACTGTTCCCATTAGGAAGGGTATGCATCTACTTACATAGTATGAATTGGTAGTTGTCATCAGACCATGGAAGACCAAAAGCAGTTATTCAAAGCAGTCATTTTTTTGAGCAACAAGGTTTCATTGACAATTGCTTCAGGTCACTGAATAGCAAACTCATCATAGCCACTAATGATATCGGAATTTTTATGCTCCTATCAGGCTGCAGTTTTCCAAGCTCAGTAGAAGAAACCCTGTGACTCACTGCACTTGGGGCATGGCTTTTTGTGCTGGTCATTCAATGTCAGTTGGAAGATATTCCACTTGTGCATCAGAGAGGATTCCAGCCTTGGGACAAGACTGCACTCCACATTCCACAGATCAGCTGCCTCAGAGCGCACTTCTGCTGCTCTTTTCCCCTCCTCCTTGAAAGACATCAGCCCTTCAGCATCATTTCAGAGCAACCTAGACCTTATTTTAACTTACACCAAGTGTCACACAAAGTTCATGATCTAAATAAAATACCTGGTGTAGGAGGGCATTTTCAAAACAGTATAGAAGTGCTGAGGGACGTCTTTAGTGTGGTCACACCACAGCAGGTGAAGGAATGGAGCAGTCTATGAGTCCCCTGAGGAATTCACAACACCGAAACTTCCCCATGGGTTTTAAGGCCTTGTTTTAAGGTTAAGTTATGAAGGCTAAGCTTGTTTAGAAAGTCCACACACCACAATGGTATAGTCAGAAAAATACCTTTTCTTTATAACTGCAAAGTCAAACTGCTGGCTATCCCTACTGCTGAAGGAATGGTATGGGAAGAGAACAGTGGTGAGTCAGTCTGTAATGGTCAACTTCCCTCCACAGCATTCACACATTTTGGAAACTCTTTGATCTTGTTGGGAGGAGAAAATTCATCCAAATTTGTAGAGTGACAATGCAATAAAATAATACATCAGAGCTGGAGGAAAGCTTGGTAAGATCAGTATGACAGGAAAAGATAGGGATGGGTAATTGAGCACTGCAATCAGTTGCCCAGAGAGGCTGTGGAATCTCCCTCACAGGAGATATTCAAGAACCATCAATGTAATCCTGTGCAATGTGCTCTTTGAATCTTCTTGTAGTCCTGTAGGTTGTTCCTGTAAAAAGCAATAGACCTTTCTTTGTTTTCACAGTTGAGAGGAAAGGGAAACGGAGAATCCGGACAACGTTCACAGCTGAGCAGCTCCAGGAACTGGAGAGGATTTTCCAAGTGACTCACTACCCAGATGTCCATATTCGCAATCAACTGGCAGCAAAGATAAACCTCCCAGAAGCCAGAGTTCAGGTATATTGTTTCTCCTAAAGGCTATGTTCACTGCAGCAATTCATTATTCAGAGTACATTCTTAATAGCTTATGCCTGGGTGACAATGCTAATGAATTACGTGACCTCTCTCTTACCTTACAGACAAGGCCAGTATCACTGTTCTCCTTTTACAAATAGGGAAGAAGTATTTGTCACCCAACTGTGACTAACCAAATGGGATTAATCAAAGGGTTAGCAGGAACTCTAAGCGTACTAAATGCATAGCAAATAGGAGTTACAGATGGTTATGAGCAACCTGTCGGACTCTGTAGCGACAGAGCGGCCATTTATGAAAATATTTATTAGCCATTTATCAACTGTTTATGGGCTAATATTCATCCAGTACAAACTGTCGTCCACATCCATCTTCCACAGGGTCTCAAAAAATCTGGAAATAGCTGCCCAAATGAAAATGCTTTCTTTAGTGTTCTGTATTTGGGTATCACAGGCTATAAATGTCCCGGTTGTAATTTCAGTGCACAGAAAGTAATCCAGTTTCCCTCAGTTGTAATATAGTCTTGCTGACTGAGCTAAAAATTGACCCCAGATGTTTACTGCATATGAGATCTGCTACATTAAAATGTACATACAAATGTGTATTGACATTTGGTGTTGTTTATCAGGCACTGTTGAGATGATTTTTGCACAAGGCAGTTTCTTGCCATAATTGTAGAATCATTGATGCACTTCTATGCACATATCCCACTCTAACAATCAAAGTTCAACATGAAGCAGTTTATTGACTATGACATGCCTGAGGCTGTTGACTAACCATGATGATATTGCTTCATAGTTAGGTGACAGGGAGAATTGGAACTGCATAGCCACAATATGCCTACTAGCGATATCAATGCACCAACAATGCATTTCCAATGGCATAAGGCACGAGCCGGGCTACCAGCCAGTGTTCCCAACAGAACAACAAATCACAGGAAAGAAAAGGGCACTTTTCTGTTTTAAAAAATTATTTATAATCTGTATGGGGAAAAACAAAAATGAGTTATTATGGGAAACATCAACCTGAAATGTAAATGAAGGAAGTAAAAAGTCCACGATGTATGAATTGCAGATGACAAATAACCAGTTCAGATAGGGTTACACACGACACAGGAAATTCTGTGTTTGACTTCATCTTAGCTGCTAAAGGGAAATCAGCCACAGAAGCAAAAATTAGCAGTAACTTAGGTGCGAGTTACAAGCTGTTATAATTTTGATTGATTGCATTTATCACATATAAACCAAATAGCATGCTGAGAATTCACATGTGCTCTTGGTACTTTGAAATAATAATTTTCACAAAGCTAAAGCAATATAAGTCAAATCACCTCAGAAAGGTAATTTAACTGGGGAAAAAATGCGAACAATCAGATAACCAAATAAAACATTTTATAACTGTGAAAAAGCTTGTGTCCTCCAACCAATAAAAAAGATATGACTGCTGTGAAACAGTTTAAGTGAATAGATGAAATTGCATCACTGTATGTGTGCATGCCTACATACAAGAGAAAATGAAGAATGCTGGATGAGTAAACATTAGAAACAAGAAATTTAAAAAAATGAATAAGCAGAGCAGGAGGATACAGGCCAAAGTTTCGGTCAGAAAAACTCTAGATCAAAAACTCAATAAAAGTCGATTAAGAACAAAAAAAAACAAACCCAAAAGTAATCAATTATATTGATCTGTTATTTTACTGAAACAGTAGGACTGTCAAGGATATGGCATAAATAGGAAAGGTGTTCAGTCATAGTTTCTGCTCTATCTTTGGACATATGTCAGGTAAGGTGGTAACACTTTCTGTAAGGACAATGTTGAACAGCAGCTGCTACAGTTGTAAATATAGACATCTAAGTGACTTACCTCCAGTAGTTCTTAAGAAGCTGCTTGAGAAGCACTTTGGATCATCAGTGTTAACTGATGTTAAATCAGTCCTGGAGCACAAGGGATGTTCCAAGGGCCTTGAAGAAATGTAATGTTGTGTCAGTACTTAAAGGGTAAACAGGACAACCTGTCAGCCAAACACTGATTTTTTGCAAAACTGTGAAAAAGATGATATGAGTCTCTGTTAATGATGAGTACACTGGCTTATGGAAAAAAAGATGCTGCCAAAGTCATCTTTTTATGATGAGATTATTAGTGACAATTTTAAACTGAAAGAAGATTGATTTAGGAAGATAAAAAAGACATTCTTTATGGTGAGATTGGCAAGACACTGGAATAGGTTGCCCAGAGAAGTTGTGGGTGTCCCATCACTGGAAGTGTTCAAAGTCAGGTTGGATGGGGCTTTGAGCAACCTGGTCTAGTGAAAAATGTCCCTGCCCACAGCAGAGGGGTTGGAACTAGATCATCTTTTGAAGGTCCCTTCCAATTCAAATCAGTCTACTGTTCTATGACTCTGTGTATTTGGTTTATTAAGGTAATTGATATCATTGATGACATGGCACTGTGAAGATCTTGCCTTGGTCCTACAACCTGCTTGGATGAAGAAAACAGAGCAGATCAAATGGCATGTGCTAGTAGACAAAAAACTAGGTCTGCAACAGGTGTCCCACGGTAACATTTCAAAGGTGGTATGTCATAGGAACCATTTACTGACAAAAAGATGAATTTGAACTACGTAATTAGTAAAACAAATGGAGGCCATTCCTACAATATGGGGCATACCACCCTCCCTCTGCATTCTATTTTAGTCCTTGTAAATGAGTCTTGTGAAATCTCTGTCAGGGTTAAGGAGGCATTTGCCCCTGGTGTGACTTTTGTGAACACACATGGGAATATTGTGCTCTGTCTCAGTGCCATAGCTCAGGAACACTGGAAAAGTGGGCATTGAGAAACTGTGTTACAGGTAAGTGTGTTGCAGAGTTGGTTGGGCAGAAAAGACCAATGTGGTCTGAGAACGACTGAAAGTTTTGCCTTTAGTAAAAAAATGTAAGTGAGAATTTTATCCCATGTGCAGACTTTAAGGAGCACTTCAGAGGCTGAATATTGTCTTCAGCCCCCTATTTCTCTCAATCACTTTGTCAGTGTTAAGTGGTGCTATTCCACCACATAACTCCTGCATGGTAGAAAGGGAATGGAGCAGTTCATGCAGACTAAGCAGTTCTCAAACACATGCAAACTCAGATAAATAAAACTGTCATTTCAATGACCTCAGGTATTGCTAACTATCAGTAATACAGCAGAGGGCTCCTGACATTCCCATTACTTCCTGGGCAAGAGATGCAGAAATAATTGAGCTGCTCATTATTTGGTTTAAAATACATACATATTTATATCCAGTTGCATCTGATTTTGATCACTAACCCTTTGTGTTCATGTGACCCTATTGCTTACATTCAAACAGCCAGTCCCTCAGCCAGATAGAAACTACAGTGGAAGTGGAATTCAACTTTTCAGAACAATGCAGCAAGGTGCATTACTGCTGCTTCAAAATAAATACATGCGTGTCTCTTCCAGAAGTCGGACTGGTCAAATCAGCTAATAGATGAAAGAAACTCCCATGGGAAAGTTATTTGTCTGTTTTTCAGGCAAAAGAGATGGCAGACAACATAGATTGCTGAGTGATCCCCTTGGGTCTTTTGCTTAGTTCCCTTATGTGAATTTCAAAATGCTACCAGTTAAATACAGGAAGAACCCTGTTACTGCATCTCCACTGGTGGCACATTTTTATTGCAGCCCAGCAAAGCATCTAGGTAGATCTTTTCTCAGTCTATTCATGTGGAAACAGCGCAAAATAGCCCCGTCATGCAACGCATCACAACTCCTGGGGAAAACAGGGAAAACAGAATGTCATGGGCCTTGACTACTGCACAGCTTTGACCACAGAAGGATCTGCTTTCCCAGGAGAGGCTTGTAAGAGCTGCAACAGTGTCTTTCCTTGATTAGGGTGATTCTAGATCTTCTCTGAGCTGTGGTAGAAAAGAGTCTGTCATGATAGTCCAGAGATCCCACATGCTATGCAGAGTGTGAAAGGTGCTGCATCAAACCCACTATATTCCATTAGATTCAACCCCTGGTTCTGCTGAGCTGGATGTCAATGTTTTATGACGATCATTTAGAGAGTAGGGAAAGTAGTTGGCTGTGAGCAGTTTCTCCTTCATATTCTGTTAATTTCTGTGCCTTTTCTTTCTTACCTCTATCCAGATCTGGTTCCAGAATCAGCGAGCAAAGTGGAGGAAACATGAAAAATTTGGCAACTTTGGTGGCCTTCAGCATCTTACAGAAGTTGATTTCATTCCTGCTCCCAAGTCAGATTTCACAGTAAGTATTGAACACTATGTATAAAGCCACCGAGGGAGAGACAGCTATCCTTCATCAGGTAATCACTTCACATGGGACTATCCCGGAGAAGGAAGACTAGAAAAAACAAAAATGGCAATATGATGACAAGAAATCCCAGCAAATCTGGTCAAATAACACATTTCTTCATAATATTAAACCTGTTTGTAAATATGCTATGAGGTGTCTTGCAGGGTAGTCTTTCCCCATTTTGCTTGTAAATCACTTCTCCATAAATCATACTTTAATTCAATCTGTCTTTATCATCAGAAATTTTTTGAAGAGGAGAAAATAAGACATTTGCAGCCACAAAGCCATGTTTCTTAACAGACAGTATCTCTTTAAAACATCCAGCCTTGTAAGGCTGACCACCACTTTTTGCCCTTGACCCTTGCCATATCCAGGACTATTAATATTATGTGGCTGGCACACAGGTTCTTTTCCTGACAGAAGCTTTTTCATGGCTACAAAAAAGGGTATTTTGCCTTGCTCCCTGGGTGACAGCACACAACCAGATTTTAGGAAGTCTATTCTTCTAAACTTTTCTTCTTAATTACTGAGCACCAGGGAAACAAATAAGGTTGACTGTAAATTGTATCTAAATAAAAGTCCATATTGATTCACCTGAAACTACGTTTTTATTCTTGAAAGGCTCCAAGCTTGATGCCAAGAAAGCTCTCTGCTTCCTTTCCTGCTATGGGATACTACTCACCGCTGCAAGGACAGCTGACAACTGCCTGGCTGCCCAGCGCGTTCTCCTTCTCTCCTCACCACATGGAGCTGCTGTCCTTCCCAAAACCGTACTTGGTCTTCAATGTCCTCCCCCCTTACGGCTCGTCACTACCCCACAAGTCGGAAAGGAGCAGGATCTGCGCCAGCTCCACATAGAGGAGATGCGGGGGAGTGGGGGACTTTGGGGGCGTGCCTTCCTCCCCCACGCCCATTTTGGAGGTGTGCGACTCCTCTCCCCGAACAAACCTGCTGGGATGATGGGTGGCTGTGGTGCAAGGTCAGCATGCTGCAGGACTGCTACTAAAAGTTGCTGCAACCTAGAGAATGTGGGCAAGAGCCACCAAAGACCAGGAAGGAGCTCCTCATCTGCCTGAGGAGCAGCACGCTCCCTAGAAACCCAACCATTCAACTGAGCGCCTCTCCCCGGGCGGACAGTGCACCAAGCAGCCCTGCAAAAGGACTGGGGTTTTACTCAGCCATGAGACAATGTTGGATGACCCTATGGCACTGATGATTGCTTGGGGAAGGAAAGATGCCTGTGATGAAGTGTGCACAGCCCCAAGGTCCAGCCAAAAGGGCTTTCCTCTGCAGATTTGGGTCGCTTTCCTCATACATTCTGGTCCTCATGGACTGGAGATTGCAAAGAACATGTTTAGGTCAAAAATCAAACTTTCAAGATACTTTTTTTTTTTCCCAAGTAGTCAATGAGGGAGGAGGGTGGGTTTGATTTGCTGCCTGTGTTTTTGACTTGAATAAGAGGGCACAAGCACAATTTGAGCTGAAATATGACAGTCTGAGCTCTGGATTTGGTACTGTGAGTCTCTGGGGGCAAGAGAATTCTTCAGCTGGTTAATTAAAATGCTTATGAAGAAGCTTCTCATTTTTTGACCTGAATTAAGAAAGCTCCAAAACCCCATCAGAAACAATAACAAAAAGAGACAACCTGAGTTTAATCTGCTAGCTGTAATAGAATGATATGACCCCACAGTTTAGTTTAATTGTAGATAAATAATGAGATCGCCCTGCCCACTTGCAAAATGTCTCTGTGCCTTATTATTTACATAATACTCATCTCCTTCCAGCATATGGTGCTTTTTTCTCCCCTGCTTATTCAGGGTCCAATCCTGCTTCCGCTAATACCTCCACTGACTTTCACTGCTGGAAAGTACTGGTTGCACCACCTTCTGTCTTGTGTCCACAGCACAAACTGCACACTGACAGGGGAAGCTACTGAACAAAGCCATTAAAATGTGGTCTTCTTCCCAGAAATATCACTTGTAAGGGTGGCCATTCATGACAGGTCCAAGAGAAAAGCAAATTGTGACCCAGTGGTCTGCTGGGCAGGCTGTCCTGTGCACATGGGAGTGCAGGTGGGTTAATGCCTCTGAATAGATTGCTTACTTTAGGAATACCTCCAGCCAGACTGCAGCGGTCAGGTCTAATGCCTTCCTATAGCCACTAATTGTTAGTTACATAGTGGGTCACAGCTTTCTTCTCGTCTGGATGGCACCAGCCTTCCAAGCACTTTAGGTTTGGAAGACCTGTAAGCTAGGAAGTAGCTGATCGTTACAGGGGAAAAGATAACTCCTATCCTGTATGAGTTTCACTTCTTCAGGCCACAACTGCTCAGCAGACCTTAGATGTATTGTGTCCTTCCTTTTATAAGTCTTATGCAAGACCTTTTTCCCATACCTGCTTAGATCTGAACTATGCGTCATCTTCATCCCTGTCATTTTATCTGTCATCTGAAGGACAGTCAAGTCAGATACAGGGCTAAACTTCAGCTCCAACGAAGAGCTTACGCATCTAACTGATTAAAATCAACACAAATCAGTTGTAGTGTTCACCTCATGCAACTTTAGATGACTGCATTGTAGCTACTCACACCCAAGTCAAGGACCTTGGGCTCGCTTTTAAGAAGAAAAAGTGATCATATTAAGGTTTCTAAGTTAGGTGCAGTTCACACATTAGTGCAGTTTCTGGGATGTGAAAAGGCCCTATGCAGTGATTTTCTGGAAACAGACACAGGCATCGTAATCATCTAAAGCTAAGGGGCATGACTCTTTGCACAACAGACCAGGGATACAAGCATTGCTACAGCTTATCCTGTGGGAATATTTGTGTAGCCTGGAGGAGGATTCTGAGATCATCACCTGAACATTTTCCTTGGTCAGGATATGGAGCATTTTAATTCCATCAGACTTTTAATAGAAACCAAGCAGCTTTCCAGAGTTACTGCCTACTTTCTGTCCACTCCCATGTCTGTCTGACAATGCCACAGCCAGGGTTCCTACACATCATGACACCTGCCCAGAATATGATGCTTCATGCTTCCAAAGTCCGCTAGAAGCCCTGTTTTGGATGAGAGAGGTGAGAAGCAGAGCTTAAGTAACTTCATATTGAAAAATCAAAGTCTTGAAATTCCTTTTTTGCTAGCAGATTCAATATTTGGAGGGTTTGTTTTGATGCAGAACAATTTTGCTTGGGCTTTCTTGTTTGTTTATGAAATTTCAAAACTTTCCACTGGAAAGCAAATCTAGGTTTCATGATGTGTGTAGCACTTTCTTCCACATGCAGCTGGTCAAATCCTAAAGAAACTTAGTACTATTGCCATGTTTTTCACCAATTTCATGCTTTTATTCTGAGGTGCAGCCAGAACAAATTAACATGAAGTGAGGCAGTTTCTGGCATTGGCATCCTTTTATACCCCAACATCTCCTAGTCTTTAGATTTTCATCATATCTCATTCTAATAGTGGCATCTTTCCCTTCCTCTGCATCCCCTACTTATCTTCCAAGAAAGAAGTAAGGAAGTTCCACTTCTTTCATGGCTGTGTTGGTCGTTAGGATGTTACTTTTACATTGTTTTATCCTCTGATGCTTCCAGAAAATGTCAGGTTGGGCACACGAGTCTTTGGGAGATCCTAAACTCCACAGCCCTTCAGATATATAGGATTATTTTGGAAAAATGTATCTAAAACCTGACAAAGGGTTGCTTGAGGGACAGGTCATCTAAGGAAGCTGACTACACACTAGCAAGACCTGAGTATAGAAACGTAGTCATAGTTTCATCCTAACTTCAGAGTAATAGTCTGTGCTTTCCCTGAGCAACTGGCTGGGAAAAAAAAGATATCAGATTTCTCACTGCTGGCATATGACTCCATTTGTACTGCCTTGGAGTGAACTGGTCCATGTGACCTCCGACCATGTGCTACACTTGTCCCAGCCAGAAACACCCTGACCACCTCTTAGCAGACTCATCCTACATCTGAAACATAAATGTGGGGTTATCGTCTCTATCCAAAGGGCTTGGCAGAGAATTCAGTTCAGGCTCAAATCCAGTCATGATAACACTTTGTTCCCTTGGCGGATCTGAATCACTTCTCAAAAGAAGTGGCAATGAGAGGTGACAGCGTGGAGCTACGTGGTCCCCATCAATGGACATCCTGGAAGGCTGTCACCGCAATCTGCTGGACCAGGTCATATTAGCTTAAGAGCTTCTTGGAAAAGAGTGACAGGAGAGCCCCGTCTTGTCCCAGTACCTGACAAAAATGAGAGGCCGTTATTTGTGGTAGATGCTCAGAGGTTTTTCCTCACCTGATTTCAAATGACAGGATTTACAGCCCCCTTGGGGGAGACCCCTCTGCAGTCTCACAGCTTCCCATGACATTCCACTTACATTTTCCATATGACAGTTTCAACCTTTAATCTTACCTAAAACCTCTTGTGACCTGAACAATTTCTCCCCCTGGCTTACAGCCCTGATTTCCATTTTCACACTGACTTTTCACTAAAAGACAGTTAGAGAGCCCAGGGGCATCTAGAAAGCTTTTCTGTTATGGTTGCTGCTGTTGTTCTGTTGGGGATGGCTAGAAAAAAGAGCTGGAGTTTGGAGGGGGTTGTTTACTTTTAGAGGTTTCTTTTTTTTTCTTTTTTTTTTTTTTACCCCTGTGATTGCCACGTGTTCTGATCACAGTCAGAAAGAGAGCGTGCAGAGAGGGTGCTGCCTGCTCTGCAATTCCAAACAGGTATCCACTAGACCTCGGGTCAAAAAAAGCTCTGATTTAAAGCAGCAAAACATCTGATTCTTCATGCTTTTTGACCAAGCTCTCGGTGCTCTTCCCACTCTGTGCCCTGACCTGACTCTACTAGGTGATGGCAAAATGTCCTTCCTCTGTTACCCCACATGGCCCCTTGGCCTGGATTATAGGTCTCACCTAAGGGCCTACTTCTATTTCTTTACTCTGCTCCTTTTTTGCCCCTGGGTAGTTTGGTTTACTTTTGTTATGAGAAAACGCTATCAATTCTAGCTCAGGGACCAAATGAGCCCATGTCTGTGCATCTCAGGGAGATCAAAGCAAAACACTGGGTGTAAATAAGAGTTTAATTCAAAATATAATTGTCTGTGAATTAACTCAGGTGGGCTTTTATCCAACCAGGATAGTTTGGCTCTCCCAAGAAGGGCTCTTGTGACACTTCCTCCCTTCTTGTGCCCTCATGCAAACCTGTTCTGTTCCTGGGACAGCTTTACCCCTCTTCCAGGACATGTTCTTGCTTTTGCTGAAATCCATCATTTACAGTGTCTATCCAAAGATACGTGCATATAACAGTTTTGTTTTCAAGTGGCTAACAATAAAAACTCACCCCCTGATCTCCTGAAGCTCAGCAGAATGGAGAGGGTGGGAAGGGAAAATGCCTTTAATTTCAGCTCTTCAGAGCTGGAGATTCTGAAAGGACTTCAGTTTGATCAAAAATGAACTTGGTGTCATAGTCACAAGGTGGGTTTAGATTAAATGCTTCAAAAGGAAACTCAAGCAGATTTTCTTTTTAATCAGCTGCAGAAAAAAAAGTCTGTCTCAAAGCAGTAGATAATTCACTACTCCAACAGCCATTATATATATATATATATATAATAATGTCATGGGCATTTCAAGGAGAGAATGTCCCCTCATGGGGTAGCTTGCATTAGCACTGCAATCCTTTCTGGAACCAGCATATCAAGCAGTATATGTCAGCCACCTGAACAATCTGCAGCTTGTTTAAGAATTAAAAAGTACCAGCCAGCAACCACGTGCCAAGAATTTGTAGTAGTTACCCCTTTTTTCTGCATTTTGAAACTCTCGTAGTCATGTTCTTTGCCATTGCATTCTTTGTCTT